GACTTTTTCTGAAATCTAAATACTCTTAATGAATTAATATATAAAAAAATTTATTAAAAAAATTTAAGTAATTTCATAAAGACTACTAATATTTTAAATGTCAACACGTAACAATTTTCATTTTTGCTCAAAATATATATGATAAAAGGAAAACAAAGCAACTTTATATATATATATATATAGGATTGCAAAAATCGAAGCTGAAATAGAAAAAAAAATGTTATTTATAGAGAAAAATAAAAATTAAGATGTATTAATATAACATAAAACATCAAAATTATTTGTAAAATTATTTAAAAATTTTAATAAATAATTTGTTTAAATTTTTTATTATACTTTCTAATATTTTAATCAGATCTATGTTTTTAAAGAATATGAGATGGATAAACGCTAAAGCGAATAAAGAAATAACCTTTTTTGTGAGTAAAAAATGGATCATGTACCGCGGACCGTCGTGTCCCGAAAATTATGTAGGCTGGTATTTCAAACCGCACCTCATTGGTTTAATTTTTTTTCAAAAATTGCCATCCAGCCAATGAAAATTCACGCATAGATCCATTGTCTTCCCGACATACACCGGGGAGGCGCGGAATGGTGGATATAGTTTCCATGTTTATGAAAACCTTTCTTTTCCGGGAATCGGCTGCCAAACCAGCAGCCACATTTCCAGAAATGGCGAGGGGCCATTACCGCAGGGTTTTCTTTATAATCCCCTTTTCCCTGTTCCATTCCCCATCCATTCTAAAATCTAGGCTTTTTCAGAGTACGGTTAAGATCATACCATGGCAGCCACACCAGCTTCACAGGCAGTACCGTCCTCTTTGATTGACAATTGCCCCATTTGTTGGGATGAACTTTCTACAAACTGTGGAAGAACACTGGTAACCCTCCAATGCTCTCACAAGTTTCATCTTGGTGAGTTTCTATGTGACCTACAGCACGTTTTTATATTAGACGAGAGTGAGAGTTATCATATCTTCGGCATGATTGTATATCAAGTGTATATTTTTCTTATTTATTAACAAGATTTTGCAATCACTGAATTAATGTTAAAAAAATGAATTTCGTGACATCCGTAATATGATTTTATGTCATGTGTGTTTGTTGATCCTAATGTGTGAATTCTATTATTGACATGAGATTCTGTCAGTCAACACAATATTGGTTTTCTATGCATCCGTTTCATATTTCATTTTTCCTTATCAGACTGCATTGGCTCGACATTTAATTCTTTTGGTGAAATGCGATGCCCCTTGTGTCGAGCCATTGAAAATGGCACATGGATTATCCCTGAAGAAAGAGCAGATCAAGCAGCTTCCGAGGAAGATGATTCTGACACTGTAGGTTTTCCATTAATTCCATTGCTCGATTTAGTTGTTCTTCAATTGCAATTTGGTTTTTATTTCACGTTTGGTTAGTTGGTT